GTGTGTGTGTGTGTGTGTGTGTGTGTGTGTGTGTGTGTGTGTGTGTGTGTGTGTGTGTGTGTGTGTGTGTTTGCTCTTCTTTACAGCAAACTGACATCTAATACTTAAGCCATCACACACAGGCAGCTGGTCAAACACAAACACAAAAACTTGCACACATCTTTGCAGCATTAATGTTTTCCTGCTTTATTCCTGCCCGTGTCAGGGCGACCGGCGACGCCCGCGAGGACGAGATGGAGGAGAACCTGGCACATGTGGGCAGCATCGTCGGAAATCTGAAGAGCATGGCCCTGGACATTGGCAACGAGCTGGAAACACAGAATTCCCAAATCGACCGCATACAGGGAAAGGTACCGCCGTCCTGTTCTGCATGTACACCTCAGTGTGTACTAATCAAATAAAATTCATTTCACCAGACTCTGTTAAATGTAACAATTTAAGGGCGCTGGTTTAGCTCGCTGGGATGAACGTGCAACCATATGCCGGGTTTGAATCCGACCTGTAGCCTTTGCCGCATGCCTTCCCCTCTGCTTTCATGTCACTCTTTACTATATCGCTCAAATAAAGCCAGATAAAGAGTAAATAGTCGATGATTACTTTTACAAGATTCTCAAAGCACCTTGTAGTAAACTCAGGTAGGGATTCGGAAGAGTAGGAGGCCAAGGAAGACATTAAGCGCTTAACTCCCACCAGGTCAGGGTTAGAGTTGGATTTTGTTTTAGCCACATGATGAATAGACACATTTTACAAAACTGGAGGACTTTACATAAAAGCTTTTCCTTTGACATGTTCTAGACCGGTGAAACTCTGTGAAAACAGCCACACCTAGAACATGCCAGCAAACCTCAGACTCCTGTATCTGGTTTTGCATCCAGTTCTCCAAGAACCCAGTTAAAAAAATAGCATGGAGCTCATGTAAAAGACAGCGTTATACAGAGAAGAAGCACTAACAATGGTAAACAGTCAAACAAACGAGCAATAGCTTCTCAAGACTATACTTGAATAAAAGCAACTGAAAATAGGTTCATCTTCAAAGTTGATTTCACAGGTTCTTATGTAGGAGGGCAGACTATTCCACAGTCTGGAAGCAATGAGAGCGTGGCCTGGTCACCGTTAGGGGAGAATTCCCAGAAGTTGTTGGGATAATGATGGAGGCAAAATAGGCAGTTAACAGACCTGAGCAGCCATAAACAGGAGTGACGTGCTGTCAGTTAAAAGTCAAGCTGCTGTACACTGAACTATGTGAAATAGAGAGTGAGAGTGGAATTAGGCAATCTTATATACAGAGTTGCAGTAGACCAGCTGAGAGGTAGGTAAGGGGGGGAGAGCTGTTTCCAGATCCTTTAGTCAGACGGAGTTCCGTGAGTTTCACACGGATCCATCTGGGATCTTAGTGAGGAGAGAAAAGAGGAATTATGGCAGTTCATCTCAGGCTTGTGCCCAGAGAGGGAGAAGAATGAAATCAATAATGTGGCTTCTTACCTGACAGAAGCAGTTTGTGCTCTTCCCTTTGAGTCAGAGATGAAAGCAGCACAGGAACTTGTGCTAACAGCACTAAAGCTAAGAATTCTTATCTATGAACAGTTCCTTCTGAGCAGGAGGTGTTTGATTATATTCACCCTACTGTGTGTTGTTGGACTGTAGAGCTTGCCGAGCTCTACAGCCTTCCTTTGATTAACCAGTGCAATTAAGCAAACCTGAAAGTGAAAGATAGATGGAGAGCACAGCTGTTTGTGCCTGCCTACCACATTCTTGTTAACACTTCCTTGTTCTTTCTTTTTTCCCATCCTCTGCAGGCTAATCTCAACGTTACCCGAATCAGCGCTGCCAACCAGAAGGCTACCAACCTCATGAAACGATAGAAGTGCTCTTCCAGTCTTTTTCTATTAAACTGTGCTTTTGCGTGCTGTGCCAATATGCTGACCCTGTTATTTTAAACCTCCCATTACTCACTTTTGACAGTGAAATGTGCTGTAAAACTCATCTAGAGGCCGTAAGGGGTTTAAAGTGGAGCTCTTTATTCCGTAACCCGTATTTTAACATTCCTGTTCGTTCCCCAGATATCATAATAGAAAGTCGTAGTTTTGTTTATTTGTATAAAATGTGACCTATGATTATTATAAGTCAGTTTGCAATGCAATGTACGCTCTGTTTTACCCCTCAGCGTGGCCTCCTTTAGCTCTTGGGAACCTTTAATGGACCCTGTGGGGAAAAAATGGGTCACTCCAGCAGCACCATCACTGCCAGCAGTAGCAGTAGAGAGCACAATCACACAAATACGTCAATTTGTGTGAAGAGCGGCTGTCCCTGCTGTGGTGTTATGAAACATGAGCCCATACGTCGCCTTTTCCATCTGCCGGACGGACAGGGGAATAACGGCATCTGTGCAGCAAAATGTTCTGAAAAGCAACCAGTCCAGTCCCAAATTACACAACCCTGTAATTCCACTTTCTCCAAAATCTGCCACTGTGGATGAAACACGTATGTGACGGCGCCCTCTGTCGGCCCAGTCGGGTATTGCCCAGAAGAAGGAAATACGTATTTCCCCACAATGGAGGATCTCTGGCGACACCAAGCGGACGCAAGCGGAACATGCATTCTTCCTGGCCTCTCCCATCTTCCTTCTGTCTCCATGTTGATAGAAAATGGTGGTGACACCAAGTGACGTTGTTGCTGATTTTACGACCCTGTCTCTCAGTCGTGCACATCAAAGGTTTGCTGACAATGCCAAAAGTCACCATATCCTAAATGATTTGTACTTGATGTCTGTGTTTGTAATGTTAGCCAATCAGGGAGATCCTTAAGTAAACTATGCTGTCTTTTTATTAGCTGCTAGGTTTGAAATCGTCCATTGGGTAGAAGCTGTTTTTTGTTTAATTATGTACTGATGAGTAATATAGTACAAATCATAGAAGTGTAGATGATGCTGACCTATGTTGACCTAAAAAGGCCTTCATGTGCGTAACTACAAGGTAACTACTACAGCTGAGGATCACTTGTGTGTGTTTGCTACGATGAACTGTTGAAATGTGAACGTAATGAATAAAAAAAAAAGTGCGCAGGAATATAGCGTACGTGATTTTGGGACTAATTAATTATGTGAGGCGGGAGGAGGGGCTGGGAGGGTGATGGTAGTCATTAAATATTCACCGTGTGGCTGAACGTGCAGACTTCGTGAGTTTGGTGACTGGTGTGTTGGGAATGGGAGTGACTGGTGCATACGCTTCTGCGGCACATGGGGGCGCGCAGCGGCCTGAAAATGTTGCGCGTTCGAGGAAGAAGGAGGAAAAAAACCACACGCGCTGCGTGAATAGAGTCTGCGCAATTCGCTTGTTCTCGTCACTCCGAACTTTCGGGAGAACCACGAAGGAAGGAGGGGAGAACAGCGCCATTTGCCTGGTAATTATTTACAGCATATGCGGCCTTTTAAAAAACACTGCACGTCACGCGGAATCCGCAATAGCAGCCCGCACGGGCGGCGTTTTCGCGCAAAGCGTACGAACGTGCTACAGTGCGAAATAAAAGCGTATCGCCGAGCTAGCAGGCGTCTCCTCCAGCTCTGACACCGACAGTTGGAGCGCAAAGACACTGCACAGCTCCGCTTGTAATGTTCGCGATAATCCGGCTCGTGGTTACGGAAATTCGCAGGATTCGCACGTCTCGTCGTTTTCACGCAGCACCGGTTCAGCCCCGCGTAGCTAACAGACGCGGAGGAGTCTGGTGGGCAGCTCCCCGTGTGAACCATCAGGCACGAGCTCAACAAAGACACAGCACGGTCGCAGCTGATTGGTTCGCGTGGGTCACGTGGCCTGGTAGAACGCAATGTTTATCAGGTATTTAATGAGATCTGGAACATTAGTACGCTCTCGTGGATGTTTACAGCCAGCCAATCAGCGCCGTGACGTAAACAGAATTCAACAGATTAACTAAAAGAAACACAGTAACTAATAAAAGCTGCACTGACATGGTTACTTACTTTGTAACTGCTTGATATATGGATACACACATACATGTGTATGTAGAGGAATTTCCTACACACACGTGTGGGTGTCTTTAGGTTTCCTCAGAAAGTAGAAAAAGAATAATTTCTGAAAGACAGGAAAACAGTCATCTATCAGTGTTCGTGTATGTTAAAGTCCAGCCAGGAGAGGGCAGTATGGGGACACGAGCTGAAGGAAAAACGAGATGTTCTCGTCCACAGCCATGAAAGCGGCCCCTGTCCAACACTGCAGGTGGTTTTCCTGAAATCTGCACTGGCTGTTTATGGTTCAGTCACCCTGAAAACAGTCCACAGTCTGCTACGCGTGCAGCACTTTTTGTCTGTGTTGCTAATTAAAATTAAGTTTTCACAACATAAAATCCAGTTCTCAGAAGTCTTGTGTGTCAAAGGAGGAGACGTAGGTTCGGTTCAGCTGCACAGCTGTGGCTCAGGTGATAACATCTGTGAAGTCCAGTTTTATATGAATTCGTCGCAGTCGCTAAATTTGTATTTTTTTTTTTTTTTAAAGTATGTAGAAGGATTTTTGAGAACATAATTTTGTAACCTTTAAATTGTGAGCTGCAGGTACATTTAAAAGTGCCAGTGGATGACTGGACTACCTGCTTCTGCAGTCATTTTTAAAATTGGGAACATACTTGAAACATGCATGAAATATTTCTGAAACTGTATGAAGAAAGTTTTGTCTCACAACTTGTAAAAAGAAAATGCCAAATTCTATATTCATCACTTCAAATATATTTGTTTCAGTGGATCAGTTAGTGCCGCTGGGACCAGAAAATTGGTCCAGTGAATAAAAATGTTTTGATTTTTTTTCTTTTGTCTGAAGAAATTTAATGGTTTCACAGACTTAGAAGAAACAACAGCTCACAATAGGGGAAAAAAAACAATATTGCTCAGATTCCTACAGAAACTGCTCACTCCACAGCTTGGTAGCTTGTAATATGAACGTATTAGGTGTACCAGTGCTCTAAATGCTCACTCTAAACTTGAGTGGGCAGATATACTTGGCTGGCCATTAACATACAAAGCTTGGAGGAATGGGACTGCTATCACTTCCCGTGATCCAAGAAGTAGTTACGCCTCTTTTCCGCTCGTATCTACTCGTCTTAACTCGGTTGTTAGGTTTTTCCATTAGGTAGTAGTACCTGGTACTGGTTACTTTTTTAGTACCTGTTCAGTGGGGGTTGCAAGTAGGGTTGGGTTTAAAAAATTGATTTTCCGATTCAAATCGATTTCAGTTTGAATAATGCGATATGGATTCATTAAATCCTGAGTCGACTCAGGTTAAAGCTAACGAAACTATTTCAACAACCACCAACAGCTAAAACAGCAAACGATTAAAAAGCAGGTAATCCGATAAAGATGTGAACCCGACGGCACGCACAATTCACTGAACCAGCAACAAAAGAAGATCAAAACCGCTTCACATTTAGAAACATCGTCATGGATACACTCTTGCTTTGGCAGTTTTGCTTCCACCACGATAAAATTACACTTCCTGCACAGCTCTCTCTCTCTCTCTGTACTCAGAGACCAGTTTAGCATCAAAAATCTGTTTTCTGGATTATTCGCTTGCTTACTACACACCAGTCTACCGTTGTGTACAGCGCTGTCTGCCACCCGTGACCTCCGACAAGAAGCCTCGTTTGTGTTCGATCCTAAAGAAATGTAAACTTTTACAAATGATGTCAAATTGCAAAACCCTCAGTTGTGTCTCTCATCAAACCTCTGTAACTTTGCTCTGCTTCACTTCAGCAGCATCAGGTCATGTTCAGATGTTGATTCATGGTTTTCTTCAGTTTTTTTTTCTACTGCAGAATATTTTAAGGTTTTCTGCTATAAAAAGCCAGGACAGGAAAATCTGCTTCATGTTTTTGTGTTTTATCCTCAGTTACTTTGACACAAAGGCATCTGCTCACACCTCTGATGAAGTCTCACAGTGTCAGCCTTGTTTTTATACATAGATATAAAATATGGATGTACGGATAAATGATCAGAATTATAATATTTCTGACTGTCAGAGTCAAAATCAAATTGAATCATATCGGCACCTTGTGAATCAGAATTGAATCGGTCATGGAAATCCTTGACGATAACCAGCCCTAGTTGCAAAAATGTGACGTCGACAGACTGCATGCTGGTGACTGGCCAGGCTGTGGCGTTGCTCGCTGAGTCATGAGATTGTCTCCTTCAAAGAAATCAAAACTGCCATTTTTGAATCTCGGCCACAAATAGCCACACAACATCCAACACTCTGGTCCCCGAGTCTGACAGAAAGCCAGAGACTGAGCAGCAGGTGTAGCATCACCTCGAAATCCTCTTTTTGTGTTTGTGTCATATAAACATGACATCACAAGACTTTCAGCCACGTTACTTTGATGACCACATGCACATTTAGGTGGTGCTCGGTTGCAGTGTAAATCGACCCAAACTGATCAGTCAAATCGAGTCATGGAGTCCATCCGACCCAGGCCTGCATCACAGCATGGGAAAACATGAGACAGGAAGCAGCACACCTAGCTGATTAGCAATGACTGAATTTTCAGAATAAGAGCGAGGGTTATGAGACTGTTGAGTGTAACTCAATGATGTTATTATCTTACATGGATTAAATCTCACATTAGTCAAAATGTACTCATCTGTTTATGCTGAAATTTAAAGTTATTTTGTATAAAATGAAAAGATAAACTTTGATCTGCACAAAAGCTTATTAAGGAGCTTATTTAGGGCAATAATAAGGAATAGTTTTTAAACGGAGTGAAATATTTTGTATGCTTATGAAGCAGAGATGCTATTTCTGCCTGCTTATAATTCATTTTATCCTCCATATTTCTTTTCTTTCATCGTTTTTTCCTTTGTGTTTTTTCTGCAGGTCCTGTGCAGTCAGCCAGGCGTGTCTAGTCCCGACTGGCAGCTGGATCAGGATCAGCTAGTCGTGGAGGGCGGTGAATTTGGACTCGGTCTCTGTTTTAGTGGGCCGTCCGAGGCAGCGGTGGAGCCATGTCAGCCACGTGGCGTGAGGACGATGAGGAACTGAGGGTGGGAGGAGTAAAAGGAGCATTGAAAGCCAAACCGAGGTTCTCCTTCACTGAGGTCAAGCTGCTGCTGGAGGCGGTGAAGAGGAACAGATACATCATCCTCAGTGAGTAGGAATAAAAAAGTAGATTAGTTCTTTTCTATTTAGGAGGAAAGTCTTTGAGGAGCTGTTTGTAATAAAACGTGTGTCGTTGAGGCCATTCTGGTACGACCTACTGACCGTCCTGTTGGTCGTGTTTATCATGCGAGTGTTGAGCTCCTCAAATCTCTCATCACATAGGCCGATGGATGCCAGCTTCGCCACCTTGGGCTGCATTTGGTGACAGTGATCTGTATTCTGCTGCAAAATGCACTCCAGCCGACTGGCAGCAGGTGGAGAGCTGCTTCTGATGCTGCTCTGTCGTCCTGCTCAGAGAGGCTGCAGTCAGAATCCCTCCATCCTTTTGTTTTTGTCATCACGGCGTTTGGGCAGTTAAAACACATCCGAGGGACATTTTTTAATATTGTTTAGTTCAGGAACCCCTGACACCACTGATACAATCAGTCAGATGTCAAACATAACATTTGATTTTATTGTGAATTACAGGATGTTTTACTGGTCAGTCTGCCCTCTCTCTGTTTTTAGTGCACTGTGCTTTTAAAGATCCTTACCAGCAGAGGGAGCACGTGGGTCACCTTTTACAGCGCTGCTGTGATTTAATACTTGAGACTGATTCGTTCTCTCTGTAGGGAAGTTTAACCAAGGTGTGTCGGCTGAAACGAAGAAACAGACGTGGGTCGAGATCACCAATCAGATCAACGGTCTGGGAGAGAATCACAGAGAGGTTTGTTTTACATCATTCTCAGCTCCAGAAAGTCCTTCGAAAGATGATTTGTGAAGTTGGCACGGTTCAGAGAAGCCCTGATCTGTCCTTCAACGTTTTGTTTTTCTGCATTACGTTATTAATTTATTCAAAGTCATGTAAAAAGAATCAGTTCTCCCAGATGAGCGAATTAATAGCTAAGGCCATTCAGTCCTGCCACACCATGCTGCCCTCTGCTGTTTGAACACAAAGGCTGTATACAACCTTTGCAGTTATACTCATACCAAACTTAACAATCACATAAGCTGAAAGTCTTCACTTCAGGATGCGATAGATTTATTTTTTTTATCGTTTGTGCTTCATAAACGACCGGCGGATTGTCGACAGTAGTTTAAGAACTTGCAGCAGTTGCAGGCAGTGTGATGGATGGGATATGTCACTCAGCACTCCTCAAAGGTTTCGTTTCCACTCAGGTGCGTCAGATCATGAAGAAATGGGCAGACCTCAAATGTGATGGGAAGCGACGCATTGCAGCGCTGCGGGGTCCCAACGGCACAACCCTGAGGAAGAAGAAACTGGGCCCCGTGGAGAGGATGGTCCATAAGATACTGATGATGAGTCCTAGAGGAGGTGAGGCGAGGCATAGAGCAACTCGGGGTTTAATCAGATTGTCCATTTTCTTTCTTGGGAAGGTTTCTAAGTGAGTGAAGTGACCCAGAAGTATCAGAGTTTCAGCCACAATAAGAGCTGTTCAACTCTCCAAATCCGAAGGAAAGGCGCTTCACTGCTGCCTCCTTTCGCAACGGATGCACTAAAACCCATCCTTTAGGAAAGGAAACAAGATGATGCCATCCAGCCCGTGATGAAAACACGTGTTAGTTTAGTTTCACTTCACTGCTTTATAAATTCTTTAATGTAATTGTCCTTTTTACCTCATAAAAGGCTGATGTTCTTCAGAGATTAGTCTCACCCCAAGCTGCCGTCATGTCACTGCACGCGTTGGCGTTTCAACCAGACCTCATTTTTGTTTGTTTTTCAGAAATTTGTCTCGACTTCACAGGTTTCTCCTGGTTTTTCTCACTGTGCCACTCAGCTGTCGGTGACCCAGCACCTGCTAGTGAGGTGATCTGTTGTTCGACAGCTTCACGGCGCATTAATGCCACCTTCTGGCAGCAGAGATGCTCTGCATCCTGCTAGGTGGCTGTAAAAACTGGTCTAAATTCGTACAGCTGATTTTACAACTGACTCGAGTTACAGCGTCGTGCATCACTGACACTGGTGTATATTTCATATTGCTGTGGCTTTAGTGTGTGTGTTCTGTTGTTTATTTTATTACAGATTTAATGTGCTGTGTACACAAACTGTGGTTAGAAAGTGTTTTTATCAGCCTGCCGGGGGCTGTGTACTTCCTGGGTCAAGTGCTAAAAGTCTAGAGAAGCGTTGTACTCAGCACCGCCCCTAGAGGCTAAGGAAAACACTGCATGCACAAACTGAGTAATCTGTCTGATGTATTCTTTGCTGCTGCAGCTGGAAGCTGATCACATTACTGGCAGCCAATCAGCAGATGCGCTCTGTCCGCTGCCTCTCAAAGGCATTTCACTTTGCAGGATGGTGCTGCATTGTTAGCGTGGTCAGTGTAAAACTGAGAGAGGAGGTTACAGTGATATTTAAAAAAAGGCATCAGATATATCTATGAGGATCCGTCGAGTCAGAGTATCAGAATTTACTCAGATTTCATGTGTTGGTTTTCAGACGGCGACAGCGACCTGGACCTGGGAGAAGACGACGACTTCTCAAAGATGTGCAGTAAAGGGCTACCCTCCAACAGTTCCCCCTACTCCTACCTCAGTCTGACAGACGGCACTCACACTTTATCAGGAGGACCCTCTTTTGAAATTTCACCTCTCTCCTCACCTGAAAAAGAACTTGGCGGTGAGTAAAGAAAAAGCTCAGGCAGCTCGATCGAGGGTTATTTGGACCAGACTCTGAGGTGTAAACCATGGAGCTTCAGGGTCCTGTTTTACATTTAATATAAATATGAAACGGCTGGTTGTGAGACTGATCTCCCATCGTCACCGACGTACAAATCGATTGTTTAAGAAGAAAAAAAAAAGTTCTTATATCCAGTTCAGATGTCAAAGCCTTCTTGAGGCCTTCTTGGACATTTTCATGACGTTCTCATGTTTTTGCAGGAGATCCTTTCCACTCCTCGTCTGACTTTGACCTGTGTGACGATGGAGGTAAGGACACTGTTGATACTTATTTTTTAAACCATGCAGTCCAACGTTTGGCTGCAAGTGTTAAAAATCATACATAATGTGCATTAAATGAATATGAATCAGGCATGACGTGGGTGTTTGAAAATGTTGTGAGGTCCTGTAAACTTCCTGCTTTCATTTGGCACAAGCATGAATGTCATACCTGAGCCTCGGCCATAATCTGATGGAGGCAGTGAAGTGAGGAATAAGAAATGAAAACCCTGAACATTCATCTTCTAGATTTGTGCGTTTCTAAGAAATTCCTGTAAAATGTGGAGAAACAAAGATGGTTTACTGCGTGTAGAAACACGATGGAAACATCTCAACGGTGCGGTTTCTTCTGTCCTCGTTTTAATCTGGTGACAGCATCAATGACAGTAATGAGAGTTTGCATCACCGTGCATGTTTCAGTGCTGCTCCTTTAAAGAATAAACTGATCCTCCTGTGGCGTTTGTCCTTCACAGAACACATGATGGATTTTGATGAAAACGACGACTCCATGTTCTCCTACCCTTCCTCCGTCCGGCCACCCCCCACCTCCCTCGATCCTCTGCCCGATAACGCCCTGATGAGGGTGAAACCCGTCTACACGTACTCCCGAAGCAGCAACGGCCAGAGCCAAACCATCCAGAACTCCTCCTCCTCCAGCAGACCTCCACCCGGACCTTCCTCCTCCTCAGTGGCTTCCACGTCCTCTGGCTTTCCTTTGGCTTCTGATTCAGAAGCTGCTTCATCCTCTGCTGTCCCCCCACCATCACGGTCCCCCAGCACCTCCAACAGACCTGGCTCCGTCCTCCCTGCTCCCTCTTCATTCTCTCCTCCATCATCTTCCTCTGCACCTGCTGCAGCCAATGGTGCTTCCTCTCACCCTCGACCTTCTACCTCAATTCCACCACCTGCAGCTTCCTCCGCTTTCTCAACAGTCACCTCTGCCACTATTTCTTCTTCTTCTCGAAGCCAGCCTCCTCCCTCCTCCTCCATCTTTCCACGCAGTGCTCCCACCTCAGGCTCAAGCCTATCGGACCCTCTCCCAGCTGGAGCGTCCTCACGCAGGGCACACGAGCAGGTCGCCCAGGTGGCGTCTCAAAGCCTGCAGCAGCAGCGGGCCAGCAGGATGCTCCTGACCTCGGTGTCTCAGTCTCTGGAGACGTTGGCTCAATCGGTCCAGCTGCTCGTGGAGAGCCAGCATGAGTTCGTGCAGGAGTCCCTGCAGCTCCAGCGGGAGACCGTGGACATCCTGAGGGATTTCTCCAACACTGCACTAACCATGCTGAGAGACAAGGCCAGCAGCGGGCAGCTGGCCCACCATCACCACCGACATCATCCCGCCTCGCACTTCTGAAACCCAGAGGGAGAAAGGACAGGTTTGAGCAGTGCGAGGAGCTTCTCATCAGTCGGGAGTCTTTCTGGTGGGTGTTCCTGTTTGCTGCACACAAAAGCTGCTTTCCACTGGTGACTCGAGCACACGCAGATTTAGGCCCAGAGCTCAATTTTATTTATGTGCCTAAATCCTGTTTTGTTGTTTTCCCTTTTTCTAGTTTTATTTGTGTCAAATTCTAAAAGTTTTCCACACTGTAATAATCAGCATTTCTAAAGGTGCTGAGCTGCTGTAGTCTCACAACCGCCGTGAACATTTCCACACAAACCCAGAGTGACCGAGCGCATTTACAGGAGATGATACACTACGTGGTGCAAGGACACGATCTGCAGTTTGATAATTCTGCTTCCTGTGTGGACATGAGAGGAGAACACTAACCCTGCATCTGATCTCCAGAGCCAGGCTCAAGAGTCACGGCGCTCTTAAACTCAGACTGGCTCCTTTTCAGGTTCCTGAAACACCAGAGGAGCAACACCTGGGGACAGGTGGGACAGGTGCTTCATGTCTGTAGTAAATTAGGATAAATTGTTGAGCAGAAGGAACCTGTTTTGTTGGGGTTACTGCTGAATTTTGCTGCTGCTGATGAAACTTTAGCTGTAATTGACCAATAGATGAACTGAATCTCTTTCCCTCATTAAAAACAAACAGTTCTCTTTTGGTAATCTGTGTAACCTGCTTACAGAATGCATTCATGCACAAAATCAGATAAACTTCACTGTAGACACAAACAACACACCCAGAGCGTGCAGCATAATAAAGTACCTAAAACAGGAGGCAGCAGGTATTAACGACTGATTCACAAACTGGTTCCCTTTAACCCAGTCAGGGTCTAAGCAGCCGTGCAGTTTTCAATAGAAGCTCCGCCTTTTATTGAACAAAGCTATAAAATTGCAAATGTGCAACCCAACAGTATCCAAAGTTTCCTGACTGTAAACCATTACAGGAGGATTAACTGCTGCAGGTGACCGTGACACCGCATCATAATGTAAATGGAAAAACAAATGTGAGCTGACAGAGTCTCTTATATCTTTATAAATGTACTTTTGCAGCCTGGGGCACCTTCTTTGTGTGCTTCCTGAAACTAACATAAATCAGATATTGTAGCTCTGTAACTTGTGCTGTGGCTCACACGTGAATCTTTAACTTATTTGCCTGTTTTAAGGACGGAGAAAAGCAAAGTTTCACAAAACGTTAAGAAGTCCAGTCGCTTTTCTTTCCAGGCTCTTTAGAGTACCGTGCCTTGCACTTAGGGAGGAACACCCTTCGACTGGAGTATGAAAAGGAATCAAGGAAACTAGCGGATTATAGAAACCATCTCCGTTTCCACCTAAGATGCACACAAAGCAGACTTATTTCCAAGAGTTTGCACCTTGGATCCACGGTGAGGCGACACAGAATGGCGTTGTTTCTGTGGAGAGCACAAAACCAACTTCTAGGTGGAAGGATGGGGCGGGTCACTATAGATGCACTCCACAACAAGATCAGATTCTGCAGGAACTCAAACCCATACTCTCTCCTATGTTAGAAGACATTTTTGGGTTTGTGGACAAGGCTAAGCTCACATTTAAGGAAAAGAAAGACAACTCCAAAAATTCCATACTTCCCTAACACAAACTTATATTTCCCAGTCTAGACAATACAAACAAGAACAGGAAGACGTCACAGCCGAGGACAGTCAGGAAAAATGGGTGACGAACTTTTCAGGCAGGACTCTCACTGAAGCTGAACAGGAGATGCCAGCCAAACGACTCAGTTTTTGCCATTTCTCCACAACAGCTGCCCGTAGTGGATGACATCACAGCCACGGAAACCGCCATAAGGATTAATAAAGTAACAACCCGAAGCAGCGAATCAGGGTGAAGGTTTCACCCACCCTCTCCACTACAAAAGTTCCTCCATCTAACCTCACGATACAAGAAAAGAAGGCCGCCGCTGAGCAAAGATCAACTTCAAGAAACTTTAAGAAATCCAGTCACTTTTCTTTCCAAGCTCCTTAAAGTCTGTTTTCTAAATGCTGGGTGTCCCCTCTGTAAACCTGCACCAGGACGTGGCTGTAGTCCATTTATATTTATAACTGCTTATAACAAGCAGAAGTGGGCTGAGGACAGAACCCTGTGGAACACCTGTCAGAGGTTACTTTTCATTATTGGAGAACAACATCACGCTTCCCAATTAGATAAGATTTAAACTTATTTTTTTCTAATAAAATCCTGCAGTAAGCTTAGAAAGTTCATGTCATGGTTTAATGTGTCAGATGCCTTTTTAAGACTGAGAAAAACCAACACATGATTGAAGTTGTTCAATCAGAAGTGACCGTCTCTGTGGAATAATGAGCTTTCTGATTATTCCACTGATTCCCACTTTAGATGCAAAGGTTAGGAAGTTACAAAAAGGAAGGCTTTACTTCCTGTGTCAGGGCACGTTAACGCTGTAGAGACGGTGCCCACAGTGTTTTCGCTGTGGGGTGGTTCTCACCTTTACCTGTCATTTAAAAGGTGGAACTGGGAGGCATCAGCAGCACAGCTGCAGCTTAAACAGGGGAGAACTTGAGCCTTCCTGTTAGACGTCTACTATCAACTATTCTTCTGCCCAGATTTAATTTAGATAACAGCGCAGTGGCGACATCAGTCGTGCCCAGTATTTAGATGTTTCCTATGGAGTTATTGTGGATTTAAATCCCAGCTACAAAGATTTAAACGTCTGAATGTCTGCATTTCCAGCCGGTTGTTGGCAGGTGCTGTAAATCTTATTTAATGTAGTTCAAAATCCTGCTTTCTTTAAACTTTGCATTCCCAGGGACTGTTGAAACCTTTACTCGATTTTCTCCTTGACATAAACCAGTGAATAGAGTTGAGTTGATAAACAATATTAATAAACTGTCTTGAGCAGTATTATTACTCTTCCATTTTCTGGAAAATAAAGACCGAGCTTCCACCTTAACCATCACCTTAAAGGCTCAGTCACACATCAGCACTGAATCAATGCTTGATGAATGTTCCAGGCAGTCAAACATCTCTGCTAAATTTCTCGTCAGCCGTCGTGGCCTTTGCACGAAGAAGTGATTCTCTCTTCTGCAAGAGTTTATTCCACTAACACCAAACTTCTTTGCTTATACTGGTTTTCATTCTCCGTGTGATTATAGTTTATTCTGGTGTCCACTCAGTTTTCCAAACTGCTGCTGTACCAGAACAAAACACCTACTGCGGCTTTTTAAGTGGTATAGATGTAAAATAATGTCAGCCACAAGTAGAGTTGATGGACCAAAAAATCCAAAATGAATGAAAGCAAAGAACAAACAAAACAAGAAATTCAAGAAACATCCAACAGAACCAGGTCAATAAAATAAAATCTATAAATGAGTAAAAAAAATTGCTCGTTAAACGTTAACATGTTAAAATATTTAACTTTACAGCAGAAATAAATATTTATCTTTTAAATAGGTGACGTACAGCTGGCTCTGCAGAAGAGACCGACTGAGACGTCTGCTTCAGTTTCAGTCGGTGAAATTCTTGCATTTTGTAATTCTGTTGCTCATCACTAATCAGCTGGTGTTTGTCTTTGCATTCTCCAAAACAACAAATCTTAAAAATGTGGAGATCAGAAAGCAGCGGGCGTGGATGTGACTGTCCTGAATATTCAGTCTGTAGCAGGACATCAAACTTGTTTTACACTGTGGGCCACATGAAGCCCAATTTGATCTAATCTGGCTTAATAACCTGTAAAAAAAGATTAAGGATGAAGTTTGTAAAACTACAGAAAAATCCCAGTCAGCTCGTTGCCCAAAACACAACTTCTCTCAATTTCTTTTATAATACTGTGGAGGAGCTGCAAAAAATAGAGGCTTTATTATTTAATGAAATATTGTCAATAAAAAACAAACCAATGAACTCTATCATATAATGACTTGTCTTTTACTTTAGTGTATGGCAGGCTATCATCTTTGTCAGTAAGACGATTTTAAACTAACCGAACTTTATCGCCTTCTTTGGAATTTTAGTTTTTTGGCAGCTTCCAGTCGGCCAGATGAGGCCCTGTGCTGGTCTGGTACTGTGTGTTTGACATCCATGTCTACAGTATGCAGCACAAAGTTCAAGCAAAAAGTTTTTAAGGACGAAGTTGTTGAACTAGAGAAGATTTAACAGATGATCCGGGCAGAGGGAGGAAGAAGAACAGCAGAGAGTCTGAAGCAGAAATAAAAATGAACACATGGACTCATCACTGAACTACAATAAAACTCGAGCGGTAGTTTGGGTCTTTTAGTTTTCAGGCTGTGTTCAGTACGATCTCACCTGGATGTCACCAGATTACAGACGGCAACAACATCAGGTGTTTGAAATCAGTTATGCTGAACCGTTTATTTTGACCTTTGTTTCTTTGCATTATAAGTGTGGACCACTGCTGTCCTTGTATTTATTCATCAGAGATCTGTCTGTTAGAGCCTAAATATTCAAATCAGTTCAGACCCTACAGTAATGCAGAGAAAACTGACCCTCCACGTGTCAACAGTGGGAAGGAAAACCTCCGTCAGAACCAGGATCGAGGCGAGGAGGCCATCTGCAAAAATCTGCCTTGATATAAGAAGGAAATAAGTTCTAACAGTGACCAGAAGAAAACCACTCCTCTCACACTGGAGTTATGCTACACAAGAATTGATCTTTTACAAGTGGATTAGTGGGCTGGGAGTGGGAAGCCCAGGACACCACGGAGTTATCAGATCAGCTTGGTTATAAACGGGAAAAGGTGGGTCACTCAGAGGAATGACATCATCAGTCTTGCATCTTGTTAAGAAAAGTTTTTCAACCAATGTAACACTCCGCTAACACAAGGCCCAGCGTTAGCGGGGAGAGACCTTCCTCCTGGGAATGTTCCTCCTCTCCAGGTCCTCCATGCTTCCACCAGGCTGGCTGCTTCCTAATTGCACAGTGAGCTTTTCCTTCTGAGACCCACACAGAAACAGGTTCCCAGTGCACACATGACCTGATTAAAATGGATCCTCCTTCCAATGATGAGTAGATTATTTAAAAAAAAAACAGAAGCAGTGAGTCTCAACACCGGTTTCCTGTTTCCCCTTTCTAGAGAAGGGCTGCAAACCCACAACATTCATCTACTCGACTCCAAATAGTTAGCAGCTGGATTAGAGGAGAATTTTAACTCCCGCATATCTGAAAACAAGGGTCCAGCGTTTTGTAGGAGATTGTGAGATGGCTTAGTGGGTCAGCATTCAGCAGTGATGGAGCACTGGTACCAGTACAGACCTTACTGCACGCATCGGTAAATGGCAGATGTGACTGCTGTAACCACAGATTCAGTTTTCAGTCAGTGAACATTCATATATTCTCAAACAGTTTTTAATTTTCAGGGAGGTCCTTACAGAGCGTGTACAGACATGCAGCACGTTAGCTTCTTTTCCCGATAATAAATCAATGTGCACAAAAGCGCAGGTGAATGATCAATCAGCTTCCTCTGAAACATTTGTAGAAGATTCTACGGAGCTCAATTGGATAATGAAAGGGTTTCTACAGAAGCCAAAAACAGTTGCTGTGAAAATAATTGTTAAAACTGCATCCACTTAAACCTACAGACCAGTCAGTGACCCTGGCAACCACTGGTTGCTGGGTATCAGTAGAGTTAAACTGGCTGTTGACAGGTTGCTGTGCTTTTACGTCTTGTCTGCAAATACTTGCAAACTACTCACCAAGTGTTAGTGAAACTGTGAAAAGTACAACTCAAACAGGAAATGGAGAGTGTGACCTTCAAAGTAAAAGCTGTGTCCTCTGGATCATGTTAGATTAGATTAGATGAAACTTTATTAATCCCTCGGGTGGGTTCCTCTGGGAAATTTGGTTTCCAATAGCACAGCACCGACAGAAGTTACAGAATGTGAGCAGAAATATACCATATATACACATATATAAATACAGAGTACAAAAGGAAAATAGAATAAATTGGAATAAGAATACAAGGGAATTGCACATTTCAAGTATTGTGAGACTATTGCATCGTTGGATATTAACAAAAAGTATTCCACAGTGAAGAGGCACTACAGCTCAGTTGTTCCCCCCTCCTTTGTCCCCCTGTCTCCCTCCCTCTCCCCTCCAGAGAGGAGTTAAACAGTCTGATGGCGTGTGGGACAAAGGAGTTTTTAAGTCTGTTGGTTCTTGTCTTTGTGAGAAGCAACCTGTCACTGAACAGACTCCTCTGGTTGTTTATGGCCGTGTGCAGAGGATGCCTGGCATTGTCCATAATGTCCAGCAGTTTCTTTAGTGTCCTTTTCTCTGCCACTGTCACCAGAGTGTCCAGCTTCATGCCGACCACAGAGCCAGCCTTCCTGATTAGTTTTTCCAGCCTTCTTTAGTTTGTTAGTTATTAGTTTTACGTTGAAGGCGAACGCTCTCCATTTCTTGTTTGAATTGTACTTTCTTGGCGAGCAGTTGGAGAGTGTTTGTAGACAAGTCAACATCTTCCATACAAACCACAGGTGACGATGACTGTTTGCTATTGACCACACCAGTCAAAGAGGGTTTCTGTGTAGCAACCAGTTAAGGTCATTATTCCCTAGTGACCAGTGGTTACCAAGCAGCATCTAGGCTTGTGACACTGAGGCCTTAAATTAGGGGTGAGGGAACTCCAGGCCTCAAGGGCTGGTGTCCTGCAGGTTTCAGATGTGTCCTAATAGTGTGAATGCCTCACATTCTTGAGGCCTGGGGTTTTCCACCCCTGCCTTAGCTGTTGGATTTGGGAGGGAGGATGTAGTTACCATTTTATTTAGTGGATTCGCTGAAAAAATACTAATACCCCCATGGTTGTATTTTAATCTTTTGCCTTAATTACTGCTAAAAGTAGTTGAGCAGTCAAACAAGAGCACTGGGGACCCGACCCTGTAGAATCAGTACCATCAGAGTGGGGCGCCTTTGTTGACCATAATTTCAGAATTTATACAGGAGATAGTTTTAAAGGATGCATCATTGTAAGGAATCCCAAAGGGCATCAGAGAGAAATAACCTTATAAACCCGAGGCTGTACTGGATTAGAACTAGATTCTTTTCCTTTGATGCAAAAACTTGATGTATTACTGATTTGATTGGGGAAAAGTGTAGGAAAGTGGTCCAAGTACGTAGTTCTTCTCTTTAAACTTGGTGACAGATTCTGTTTCTTCTTTGCTCTTTTCTGCAAAGTTGTTCAAATGAGTTCCCTGCAGATGAGTATTTTTGGAAAATTGGGGGGAAATAGGGACCCAGAAGTCAGTACTGGGGATATGAGGGTTGAGGCAGATGAACAGAAAAGTGCTTTAGTAGCAGCTTTTTCCAGTACGAGCGGTTAGATATTACTTTTCCTTCAGGAGGCACACAGCGGTCGAGATAACAAGGCAGATTGATGCTCGTGTAGAAGGGTCAGCATATCTTTCATCATGGGTCCCATTTCAGTGCCCGAGGAAGCTGTCGAGAGCAAAGAGGCGTTAGCCGGGGCTGAGAAGGAAGATTGTTTTATTCCTGAAATGAATAACTCTAATTTGGGTGGTTGGAGCTTCAGAGGAAACCTGCAGTAGGTGTTTATTGAGAAATAAGAGCCCCGAGACACATGGATGCTCCTCCGGCTGTTCGGGAGTGTCAGAGGCAGCAGATGGGGAGTCTCTTTCTTCCAAGTACTGATCCAGTTGGAATGAGGGCTCATCTGGTGGCTCAGCCACACCTGCTGAAGTGTGATAGAGCTGTACTGATTAAACATGCATCTACACACATTTCTGTCAGAAATCTGGTTTTGTGTTAACGTAAAAAGCAAACGGCAGGAAACTGTGTGGCTAGGGTTGTGAGGAACATGCATGAGTTTGTGCAGCTTGCTAGCTAACAGCAAACCACAGGCTGTAACTTTTAAAAGTTCTTAGCAAGACCGCCGTTATTGTTCTCACACTCGAGATAAAGAACCCAAGCAGAGAAGAAGCACTGTGTGTCCTGTATGTGAGGTCAGCCTCACCCACCTCCCTGCCTGAACGGGGACCCAGTGTGGGCCGGGCCGTCGGTCTTTAATCCGCAGAAGATTATAAACAAGACGAATCAATGGCTCTGTCTGAAGATGCCCTCTCAGCTACTCAGTGACTGTGTTTGAACCACACAGGGACAAATCTTACATATCCTCAACCAAATCTTCCCTTTTTAAAATGATCTATCAAATCTCTAAGGTTCATATTAAACATGGCCACAGTTTCAAACGATGGTGTCAGTGTATGTTCCAGTAATCCCAGTGAAACGACTGCTCAGGCTGCGGCACTTTTTTCTAGTCTTGGCTCTGTATGACGCAGCAGCCCGTCCATCATGTGCCAAACCTGCTTGTTAAGGGCTGATCCAGTGAAAGCTAGCTTACAGAAGCAGCTAATGTTTATATAATAAAGATTACAGCGGGTTTTGTTGGATTTGTAGTGCACATATGTAACATTTTTGCACTCATGTCATAAGGCCCTCACTATGTGCCTGTGATTCTGTTCATGTGGACGTAGCGTTTTCAGTGGGAAAAACGTCGCTGACAGATGGACCCTTAGGCCCCTCCTCCATTCAGAGATGGTCTTTCCCTTTTCATGTAAACGGCCTCCTTGACTCCGCCCTCAAACCAGCGTTCCTCCCTGTCCAGGATGTTACATCCTCATCATTGAAAGAGTGTCCACTGGCCTCTAGGTGTGAATAGACTGCAGAGTCCTGGCCTCATGAAGTGGCTCTTCCGTGTTGTGTCATCCGCTTCGCCAGAGGTTGATTGGTTTCCCCGATGTATAAAACCTGCCTGTGACACTAACTTTAACTGTGTTATTTATTGTAGGCTGTATTCTCCCAGTGATGAACAGAATCAACGTTCTTGGGCTATTTTTCTTCTGTATCCTGCAGCTCACCTGGTCGTCCACCCGCCGGCGGCTTCAAGTCAAGCTCGCTCACAGAGACTGCAGCCTTTCTTGCCATAAAACTGGATCAGAACCGAAGACTTGAGTCGAATACATCAAAAATTGTTTTGGCTAAAAAAACCAACCCAAACCAAACTTTGGAACATTAAATTTTCATGCAAATTGGAAATGGTCCATCAGAACATTTTCTTTGATTCGCGGTGGAATGACACATCTTTGTCCTTCATGTACACAATGTGTAAAACGTATGTTGGACTAATCTACCCTCGGATCTCTCGCTCTCCCCGTCTCCTGCCTTTCAACCTTTGTGTTCATTTTCATTTGGAAAATCCGATAAAACCAACAGTCATCGTTTCCCCTCTTCTAAAACACATAACTCAGATTTTGTGAATTTAAGGCATTGATAAACTTGCCTCATCGGACTCTGATAAACCTTTTCTTTCGACAGAAATGCTAATAATCAATCGCTCCACCACTCTCTCCCTCTCAGGGTCTCTCTGCTCCAGTGATAAAGTCTCCTGCTACTTTCCTTTGAAATGTTCAGAAAACCAAATGTTCCTCTTGAATTCTTCACAGGCTCGCTGACAGACTCCATGTTTTAATAATTCACTTTGTTTCTTTATCTTCCTCCAGCCTCCATTTGTTCCTTATTGTCTTCATTTTCTGTATTTGGTGGAGACAGAAAAGACGAAATGAGATTTCTTTTCTTTAAATCTGTCATTTCCGCCTGTGACACCTCCCTCGACAAACCGCTGATAATACAAAATTAAACCAAATTATGATGCTCATTCAAAGCTGGTGAGTAGCTTGTGTCCTTTGTGGGTTTTTGATAACACTACTTTACAACATATCAAATAACTATCTGGATTATTTTTCTGTTCAAAGTCAATACGCTGTATGACGTTTACAAAATTGTTCTCCAGCTGGATCTTGAACAGAAGACGCTGATTTTTACAGTCATTCCCAAAAATCTGTCGCAATAACGCACAACTCTCAATGCAGCACCCTGTGCACTAGTGTGGAATAATGAAAATAGCCCAGCATGTCTGCGGTATTATAACTGATCTAACTGACCGCTCAGAGACTGAAAGCCACATTCAAGTGTTCTAACCATTCATGGCCAATAACTGGGTTTCCTGGGAGGAGCTGGCTGGAAGATTTCTGCGTCTATATTCAGACAAACATGAGGTTTTTGTACTAGAAGACCACGTTTTCCCTATAATGACTCTTCTGCATTGGCTCCCTGTTAAATCCAGATTTGGATTCATAATCCTTCTCCTCACATGCAAACGCTTTAATAATCTGGTCCGGTCATAACTTAACATCCATTACCTCGCTGTTGCACTCCCCTGGAGTATTTAAAAGTAGAATGGGAGGCAGAGCCTTCAGTTTTCAGGCCCCTCTTCTGTGGAACCAGCTTCCAGTTTGGATTCAGGAGACAGACACTATCTCTACTTTCAAGATTAGGCTTCAAACTTTCCTTTTTGCTAAAGCATATAGTTAGGGCTGGACCAGGTGACCCTGAATCCTCCCTTAGTTATGCTGCAATAGACGTAGGCTGCCGGGGATTCCCATGATGCATTGAGTTTTTCCTTTCCAGTCACCTTTCTCACTCACTATGTATTAACAGACCTCTCTGCATTGAATCATATCTGTTATTAACCTCTGTCTCTCTTCCACAGCATGTCTTTATCCTGTCTTCCTTCTCTCACCCCAATCACAGCAGATGGCCCCGCCCCTCCCTGAGCCTGGTTCTGCTGGAGGTTTCTTCCTGTTAAAAAGAGAGAAAATGCTCTCAATTATGGAGACAGTCAAATGGTTCTATTTATGTTTGATGTGTGCTTTACATTTGTGTGGCTGTTAATAAAGTTAGCGCGCTCTAGGGGGCGTATGCGTTCATCAAAAATGGCCGAAG